ACCGGAGCCCCTTTCGCCCGCGACGCCGGCCGCCGATCCACAGCTGGCGAGGCCCCTTCCTATCGCCGCGCCGGCGTGCCCTCCGCAGCTGGCAGCGACCGCGCCTCTCGCCGCCCCCCTCCCCGCCCATCTCCCCGCCGCGCAAGGCATTGGGCCTCAGCCAGGCTGCCCTGCGTCTCCCCTCTCCTCGTCTGCCCAAGAGAGGGCCGACGCGGCGAGCCACCCACTCGCGGCGCCGACCGCCGTGGCGGCGCCGACCGCTCTCACGGCGCCCAATGGTTTCGTCGCCCCGTCACCGCCGAACCCGCTCGCCGGGCGCCCGCCTGCGGCAGCCCACGCCGAGGCTGTTGCGCTGTGGGACGCCCTCCGCGCGGAGCTGCCGCTCGCGGAGCTCGTCGAGACGCTGCACGGGGAGGCGGCGGCGGGCGGGCACGCGGCGCCGGGTAGGCCAGCAGCGCCGGGTAGGCCAGCAGCGCCGGGTAGGCCAGCGGCGGCGGGCGGGCTGGCGGCGGCGGGCGGGCTGGCGGCGGCGGGCGGGCTGGCGGCGGGTGGGAAGACGGTGCCGGGCAGGCCAGCAGGGCCGCCGGGCGGACAGGCGGTCGTGCCAGTAGCACCCGCCGGATTTGCGGCGCCGGGCGGGCCGATGGCGCCGGGCGGGGCGGGCGGGCAGTATGCGCCGGGCGGGCAGATGGCGCCGGGCGGGCAGATGGCGCCGGGCGGGCCGATGGCGCCGAGTGGGCAGTATGCGCCGGGGGGGCTGGTGGCGCAGGGGGGGCTGATGGCGCCGCGCGGGCTAGTCGCGCCGGTCGGGATAGTGCCCCTGGGCGGGCAGGCTTCGGCGGGCGGGCCAACAATGGCGGCGGGCGGGCTGGCACCGGATTGGCGGGTGCTGGGTGGGCAGGCCGCACCGAGCGGGTTGGGCATGGGCGCAGGGATGGGCGCGGGGATGGCAGTGCCGCGGGCGCCGCCGAGCCAGGTGCGCACGGGTCTCGCTCTCTGGCCGGCGCCGGCGAGCCGCGGCGCGAACGATGTGACGCACGATGAGCAGCTTGGTCGGCAAGCCGAGCAGGCGTGCACGTATGCTCGCACCGCACGCCCCTTCGCTTCGTTCCCACCGCCATCGCTCCCCTCGTCAGGTCGTCGGCAGCACGAGCGTCAATGCGAGCAACGGGAGCTGCGCCGCCCATGCGCCACCGCCGTCCCTCGAGTTCAAGCCGGCAGCAACTCTGCCTTCAGCAGACGAGCTTTGCAGCGGCGGGGACTCAGCCGCGACAGCCATGGCGGCGGGGGATTTTTCCACGGACCCGGCGGCCAAGCGTCCCCGATTGGCCGTACCCGAGCCCTAGGGCTTGTCGGCGGGTTCCTGCATTTTTGCCTTTTTTTGCCCCACGTGTCCACTGGCGCGTCGCTCTATGGCCAGCGGGACATCAGGATCCCACCGAGGTTGCTTGCGTGCCGTCCACGCCTGCACGAGGATTGCCTCGCCTCCTTCCTGCTATGTTTTTGCTCTCTATGTACGTGCGCGCGTCGCATTGGCCATTGCGGTCGCGTATTCCGTATAGTCGCGTATTCCGTAATAGTTCATCGAGTGTTTTATCGGGCGCGTGCGCGTTGAGTGCGTATCGCTTTTAACTCTCTGTGAACGACTCCAACTCTGTGTGACTAGATGGCGCACGTGCTCAGCGGCGCCTGCCCGGGGAATAGGGAGCAGGCCAGGTGGTTCTCCCTCAGGGTAGCGCGAGCGCAGTCCGCACACGCCACGACACCGCACAAGAGACAAGTCGTCGTGCGGCGTGTAGACGGCCTCACACATGATGATCCCCGTGTGAGTAGTGAGACGAATCTCTGTAAAATATGACTCTCTCTCTTTGTTTATGCGAGCAGGATTTGTGTACACGCTGCAGGATTTGTGTGTGCGAGCCGTGCACACCGTTCTGGCCCGTCGCTACATAAAGGCCAGCGCAGAGCCGTGTATACACGATTTCGCCGGCGGCGCGAGGGGCGAGCGCCAAGCGAGAGGGCCATTGGTGGCTACAGGTGGTCACGAAACATGGCGTTGATGGTTTGCGAGACCTCGGTCACCTTCTGCAGGATACCCTCGCGCTCGTCCGCACGAAGCTTTGCGCCAAAGGCCTGCACGAAGCGGTCTGGATGCCACCGAAGACTGAGTGTGCGATAGGCGCTCTTGCGCTCGGCCTCGCTCTGCCGTGGCCCGAGACGTAGGGATGCCGCATCGAGCGATGGCCATGGCACGTCGCGCATGCAGATCTCCTGCCCTCGAGCCGCGAATTTGGCCCACGCCGCCTCCGCTCGGTCCCACTGCAGCGCTGTGGTGTGGTGAGCAGTGGCACGGCGCGCAGTCGTCGGTGGCGATTCATTCGGCCTTCTGCTGGGACGTCCCGCCTCCGCCGGCGCCTGTGCCTCTCGCTCCGCCTGCCCTGCTCTGTAGGCTCGCGCACGAGATTTCAGCTGCTGCTGGTACTCTTCCTCACCCGACGAGTCGCCCCGGGAACGCTCATCCGCATCAGCTGATTCGTTGCCGGCGTCGCATGCATTCCCACGCGGCGCACTGCGCTGAGCCTCTCTTGCCTGCTCCTCCGCGACAGCCGCGGCCGCCGCCTCCGCTTTTGCCTTAGCTTCGGCCTTGATCTTCTCCCACTCGTCATCCGGCAGCGGTGTTGGCCTCCGTGCATTGAGTCGCGGCGCGGGCCGGCGCGGCACGCCACTCAGCTCCGCCCGCGAGACGGCTCGGGCCTCGTACGCCGCCCGATGCCGCTGCCGCTGCACTGGCGTCTCCTGTCCGGCCGCGGGCTGCACGGAAGAACCTCGAGTCGACGGGGCATCCCTTCCGCCGGCGGAGGAGGGGCGTTGCGCCGCCGCCGAACCCCTCCTTTGCCGCTCGTCGCTTCTCGGACGCGCAGGAGCCTCGGTCGAGGCGCTTGGCGCGTTGCACGCCGGGCGCGCGTGCCTTGCCGCCGCCGTCCACGCGTCTGTGCTCATCGAGGGTGCGGAGTCTTTTGCCTGCCTGCTGCCGCGCAGCGGACCATCCTCGCGGCCGGGCCCTGTCGGCCTCGACTCGCCCGACGAGTGCTGCACCAGGCGGGAACGGATGCGCGCGCACATCTGGCAGAATGGCAGCTCGTCGTCCTCGTTGAAGAAGCGGCAGCTCGGGTGCGGGCAATGCCACCCGTTGGTCGCGCACGCGCCCATTTTGACAAGTCCGTTCGTTTCTCGTTACAATTGTATTCAGTGTGAAGGACCTTCCCTGGGTCTGACATACGAGGTTCTTGTTTCTTATCACCCTGTTAGTGCCAGTGCGCGCCAGTCCCGCGCCGACGCTGGACATCGGACAAGTGGTCCACACGCTCAACAGAATGTTCAATCTCAATGTCCCACCCCTCTCTCTGCGCGCGGGCCTTCTATAGGCCCGCGGGTAGTCTCCCCCCATCCCCACAGGGCCTCCAGGACTCGCACCTCAACCTCTCACAGACCAGCGCACAGCGCCATAGGACGTATTTTCTTGTCAACAACAAGGCTGTGATCAAGCCAATAAACTTATCTGTAAACGCAGCTGACCTGTGAGGTATTCTCTTCTGCAGTGCGCGCCAGTCCCGTGCCCAGTGTTGTGCGAGGGAGCTTTGTTGTAAAATTCTCTTCTGAAGAAGAAGGTCTGTGAAGGTCGGCCCGCGGGCAGATTTATATACCCGAGGCGGTGCACCTCACTTAAGACATGTGAATCCCTCCCTCCCTGCTGGCTGGGCGAGCGGAGCGAGCGAGCGAGCGAGGGAGGGTGGTGGTGTGGGGAGGGAGGGCGGTCTGTCTGTCTGAGCAACCACACCTCCGGGCGTGTAAATAATTTCGTTTTAGAGGCCTTTATCAGTTATCAATCAATCAGTTGGATATATTGCAATAAGCAGGTATATGGATAGCCACACTAGATGGATGGAATTCTGTGGGTGGGCCATGCGGGGGTCGGGCCCTGCGGGGGGAGCAACAGTCACACTGAACTGTAATTAATCGTCGTCGTCTCTCTCTCTCTCTCTCTCTCTCTCTCTCTCTCTCTGACTCTTCTCTCTCTCTCTCTGACTCTTCTCTCTCTCTCTCTCTCTCTCGCTCTCTCTCTCTCTCTCTCTCTCTCTCTCTCTCTCTCTCTCTCTCTCTCTCTCTCTCTCTCTCTCTCTCTCTGTGTGTGTGTGTGTGTGTGTGTGTGTGTGTGTGTGTGTCTGTCGAGGGTTCTCGAGGGTTGTGTGTAGGAGGTGAAGAGCAGGCAGGCTTGGACTAGACCCAACGGGGTATGGTGTGTGTGTGAGCACTTTGGTGACTTTTGAGTCTTTTTTGTCGACCACGGCGTCTGCACGCCCCCCACCCTCAGCGGCGTCGACCGCACAAACCCGCACAACCGCACAAACCATCGCTTTACGAGAGCAAAAGTGTGCACATGTTGTTTCTGGCCGCCTTGTTTCTGGCCGGCGCCGCCACCGCCGACGTCATTGACCTCGGAGGCTGGACGTGGGCAGGGCCGTCGAACGTCACTGCGAGAGGACAGGCGGGGGTGCTTTTGGCCAAGGAGGAGTCAGACGGGGACCAGAGCAACACAGCCATCTTTGGCGCCTTTGCGCGGCCAAAGGAGTGCTCGTTGAGGACGCAAGGCTGCCTCGAGTGCTCTCTCGACGGCGGGGCAACCTGGCGGCGCGCCAAGTCGCTCCACGAGTTCAAACCCGGCGCTGGCCACTTTGTGGCCTCGGACGACCGCATCGACTGGTCGGCGGTGACCACGCAGAATGTCGGGCTTGACGCTGCGTGCGGCAGGCACGCCGCCAGCAGGGATGCGTGCGTGCACGGGCTCCGAGTGGCGTGCAGCGGAGTGTCGGCGCTCTCTCCGCCGCGCGTGGGCCTGCGCCTCCGCCTGGCAGCCGGCATGTCTGGCAAGGGGAAGCGGCGCCAGGCGGAGGTTGGCGTGGTCGTCTGGCAGATTGAGAGCGTGCCTGTCCGCGCCTCCTCCTTCCCTCTCGGCGCCTCTGAGTGCGAGTCGACGGCGGGCGGCGCGCTGGGCGTCGTCACCAGCACGACTGAGCGGGTCAGCGTCGTGATGCCGTACCTCTACCCGGGCGCAGACGGGAGGCGTGCGCTGAGCCACCTCACCGAGTGGGTCGGCTGGTACTCGCTGCTCGGCGCCAGCCGCATCCTCCTCTTCGACCAGCAGCTCTCGCCGCCGACTGGCGGGTTTGCGCGCGGCCTCGAGGCGCTCGCGGCCTCAAACAAGCGCGTGCTGCTCCTGCGAGGCTGGTGGTCGCCGCGGCTCTACATCTCGCGCAGGCGAGGAGACGCGCGCGAGACGCGTGGAGGCTGGTCTCGCCCGCGCGTGGCTGTGCCCGAGAGCCCGCGCCGCCCATTTGCAGGTACCAGGTCTTTTCCCTCAACCTCGCCCTGAGCGCGGTACGCGGCTGCGCCAGCGCGGCGAGGGCGAGCCTCTGGCTCGTGGGGTCAGTCGCAACAGTCTTTTTGCTCTCATGAGAGCATCCCTCTAGAGCCGTAGGTGTGTAGCGCCCCTCCTCCTCCAGCGCCGCCGAGAGAGAGAGAGAATTCTTGATACGAAACCACGACGACACACACCAGTCGACTCGCATCGGTTGCCTCCATGAACGGCGGAGCTATTCTCGCGCCCACACCACACCTGGCTCCAACGTGGACACGCCCATAGCTGGGGACACTACTAGGTCACGCATGGCATCACAGAAGTTTTATCTCTGGGCCCCGAAAGGCATCTCTAGCAGTGTCGTTACACATGCCCCCTCCCCTCCTGGGCGCATGCGCCTCACGTCTCGCCAGAGCATAAGCCCTTGGCGTGTGGCGAGACGAGTTTTTCGCCATCGCAGCGAGCAGCAAGCCGCCCGCCGCAAACAGCC